CCCGCCCGGGAGGGTCGCCCCCGCCCGCGTCGCCGGGACCCCCGCAGCCCGCCCCCCACAGTTGAGGCTGACGCACTCGTGTCCCCGGCGAGCGCGACCGGCCCCCTGAATGAATGAGCGATCGCATGCACGCATGCGCGCTGGCCCCGGTTGGGTCCGCGGCTAGGGACCCTGTGTTGGGGGGGCGCGAGTGCGCCCCGGCAGGTGCAGAGGGGCCGAGGCGCCCGCGCGGGCTTGGGGAGCAGGCAGGGCAGCGGGCTTGGCCTCGGGGTTGGCGTGTCCACGCAGCGGCCGGGGAGGCTCGGGAGGAGAGCCGGCGGGGCCTGCTGGCGGGTGGGGGCGCGGGGGAGGGTGGGATCGCGGGTGAGTCACCCTCGGGGCCGCAGGGAGGTAGGGCTGGTGGCAGCCTGCCAGGTCGCTGTGTTGGGAGCAGGCGGGAGAAGTTCTGAGTTGCACTTGAGCCGTGTGGAGTGTCGGGCTTGTGAAATCCGGGAGGGTCAGGCGGCCGAGGGAGAGGGGTGGGCCCACAGGTGGTGCGGGCCGGCGACGGGAGACCGGGAGGAGGGGGCCCAGCAGCGCTCGGGCAGGCCCTGGGGATTGTTCTGGCCCTCCCGTGGGTGGGGAAGGACAGGAGGTTTTCGAGACCATGGACGCCTCGGGAGACTCATGTCCTGCCCACCTCAGGCCTCTGGCCTCTGACCCTCACACTGGGCCTCCCTCCACCCCCAGCCGCGGGCAGCCCTCCATCCTCAAGCCCAGGGACCTGGAGAGAAGGAGGGTCCCCACCCGCACAGTTCCCCGGAGGGCCTGCCCCTGCCCCCCTGCAGTGCCGCAGTTGGTCGCCAGGGGGAATAAGTGAGCCCCTTGGGTGGCCAGCCATTGGCTCAAACTCCAACGGAGGGTAAAACAAGGCAGGCCTCTTGTTCCGTGGGCCCTGAGAGGACGAGGCCTGCGCGCTTCAGAAGCCGCCCTTCCAGCCTCTCAGCATTGCCCGCCCTGCGGTGGAGACTGCCCCAGGGGGTGCTGCTGGGCCACTGCCACGCGCCGACTTGGTCACTGGCCGACCTCGGGTGGGTGGCACTTGGCCGTTCAGTCCTGCGGTGCCCTAGCCTCCCGGAGCCCCCGTCCCGTCCACATGCCCCAGGTGCCCGCTCAGCCCTGAGGCTCACCCTGGTCCTCTCGCCCCCTGGCCCTCCTCATCCTGCCCAGCGTAGAATTTGGCCTCCCTGAGCCCCCCTTTCAAGGTGCTGGTTGTCCCCCAAACTCGGGGGACCCCGGGCGGTGCTGCAGAGTGGCTAGCAAGGCTGCTGGTGAGACTCGTGGCCTGCGTGCCCACCCTCCCCAGGCCCGGCTCCCTGGCCTCCTGGCAGCCTCTGCAGACCACAGGCGCCCCCCTCGGCTGGCTGCGTTGCCCTCGCAAGCCCAGAGCGCAAGTGCACTTGGCAATGGCTGTGGGTGGTGGTGGCCTCTCACTGCTTTGCAGCTGCCTCTGCTCGCCCTGGGGGTTTTCAGGGTAGGTGTGGGGGTTAACGGGTCGTGGTGACGGGTGCTTCTCCCACCCACATGGAGAGTGTGCAAGTGACGCCCGCCCTTGCTGCGGGGTGAGCCAGGGCTGGGAGCGACTCCACGGCAGGCAGCCTGCCCGTGGGGCCATCACTTTGAGCAAGCGAGGTCTCCAAGCCTGGCCACCAGCACCTTCGGGGGCCACGGTGGGCGTGCTCTCTACGGGCCTATTTCTTGAGTCACTCCATAGCCCTTTCCGAAGGGCCCGCAGCCCACACAAGTTGATGGGCACCGGGGGTCTCGGGGCCCACACTGGGCAGAACCGTGCAGTGAGCAGAGGGGGCCCTGGGGCGCTGGCCTGTGGAGAGCCGCCCCCCCCCTTTGCTTCCCGCTCCTGTTGCAGTGGGTAAACAAATGGAGGTCTGCTGGGGGCGACCCCGGGGTCCCGTGTTCTGTGTTTGATGCGGACAAATCTCCTCGTCTCAGGTACCCTCTGTACCAGCTGGGCGGCCCCCAGCTCCGTGTCTTCCGAACAAACTTCTTCATCCGGCTGGTGCGGCCCGGCTCAGTGCAGCCCGAGGACACCGTGCAGTTCCGGATCCCCATGGAGTAAGCCCCTGAGGAATTCAGGCTGGGGAGTGCCCCCGGGGGCTGGCCGTCCTGCTGGTGTCACAGACCTGGCTCCTACGTGTGGCTTCTCCCCGCTGTGAAAACACCACAGGCAGCTCTCTGAGCTGCTCTGCAAATATTGACCGAGGGCCTGCTGTTTGCAGAGCCTGGGGTGAGGCCGGGCTGCCCCCCACGCCCTCCCCTCCCCCCACGGCCCCCCCACCAGGGGGAAGCCCAATGGAGGGCCCAGCGCCTCTGTAACTGCATTGAGCTCCGTGCTCTTCCCAGGCGCCTGGGCCCAGGCTCTCAGAGCTTCTCACCACAGCTTTCAAAAACCTAGTTTTCCAGCGGTTCCCTCGCAGAGGCCCCGGGCACTGTCCCCCAGGCTGCAGGGCGCTGCTCTGATGCCTCAGGATATGACTGTCCCCGTGCATGGGCCTGGGGTCAGCTTGAGCTTGAGTGGCAGCCTTCAGAGGCTGGGCAGGAGTGGCCAAGGGCCACGGTGATGATGCCATTTCAGGTGGAAAGGGGAGGGGGCCTAACCCACAGCACCGTGGCCACCTGGTGGGCTGGGCTCTTGGCAGCCTGGGGCACCGGCACATTGGCCCTTCCCTGGGGAGAGCTCTGCCTGGGAGCCTGGCCCCTACGGCCCCCCACTCATATGTGGGGGACAGGAGAGCACCGGCTGGGGTCAGGTGGCTGCTTTTCATCTCAGCCTGGCTGGGACTTGCTTTTCTTTCGTCTCTACCCCAGGATGACCAGGGTGGACCTCAGGAATTACCTCGAGCGCATCTACAACGTGCCCGTGGCCGCCGTGCGGACGAGGGTGCAGCATGGTGCGTGCCAGGCCCCTGCTGCCCTCTGTGGGGGTGGGCACGCCCCCGGAGCTTACGAGGCCTCGTCCCAGCCGCTGTGGGGGGCTGGTTCTTGCTGGGGAGCTGAAGTGCTCAGGGCCGCAGGGGCTTCCCCAGGCCCACGCTGCCGACAGGGCAGAGCCGGGGCTGGAGCTCGGGTGGGCCACCCCGCTTCTGCTCTAAGCTCTGTCCTCGACCACCTCGGAAGCGGGGTCAGCAGGGCGCTTTCCTCTTGGTTCCCTGACCCCCCCACTGCACTCCGAGTTGTTAGGGACGGCAGCCTTCTGTGTTGGGTCGCTGTGCTGACGAACGGGAGAAATGGGTCTCCTGACTTCTTTTAGACACATTTGGGTGTTTCACGGAGTAGAGAGCCTCGGTGGTGACGCTGGCTCCTCGAGCACAGCCTGGACCCGTGAGCCGGTCACATTCGGCTGTGACACACTGTCATCAGTGGGAGACCAACCAATTCTTAACATGTCTGCCTCTTTCTAGAAAGTGGGTTCCTGGGTGAGTTGGACTGGAAATCTCGTACTTGGAGTAAAGTGTGTCTCCCCCTCCCCAACAGGTTCCAACAGGAAGAGGGATTACAGAAACGTCAGGATGAAGAAACCAGACTACAAGGTGGCCTATGTGCAGCTGGTGAGTGGGCTTCGGGCAGAGTCCCAAGTCCTGGGCGTGACTTATCACGACCGTGACCTTGGTGCGGGGGACGTGTTTGTGCAGCGGCCCCCGCCTGGGGCCCAGGGAGGCCCTGCAAGGCAGGATCTCAAGGACCATGGCAGGCGCGGGGCAGAGCCTGCACTTAGTGCTAATCCCCAGTGAAGCCCCAGGCGGAGCTGGTGCTCCGAGCACATTCACCCCATGGGAGGAGACGGCACGGGGCATTTTGGAACTTCTCTGGGGCCAGCCGTGTTGGGCCCTTGGACTTTGAATGTGCTGTGGGCTCGGGCAGGGCCACTCAGGCCCCCGGGGTTTGGGCTCAGGCAGAAACCAAAGCTCCTGCCTCTGGAGCGCGTGTCCTTGGAGGGATAGGCCCCCGGGGGAAGGGGGAGGCAGTTGATGGCCTGGGGGTAAAGCTGCTGCAGTGGCCTGGGTCTCAGAGCTGGACCCGTTCGGTGTGCCCTGGGGTCCTGGCTGAGCCCCCTCCCCTCTGGACTGGGTTGTGGGGCTCTGGCACATTCCGCCAGGTTCTCTTGACCGTGTGTCCTGCCTGGCCTGGGGCGTGGGGAGAGGGTCCAGTGCACCATCTCCGTCCAGCAGAGAGGAAGCCCCCTGCTCAGGCTCTCCCCTTCCAGAAGGGACCCTAGATGTGCTTCTGCAGATGAGCCCTCCAGGAGATGGCAGGGTCCCCCGCCACCTCCGTGCAAACCTGCCAGGGAGGGCCCTGATTGCAAGGCCCATTAGCTGCCCCTGCTGTTTGAAACCCCCGGGGGCCGGGGTGGGGGGGCCTTCTAGATTCTTCCATACCGGGGTGGACAGCTGAGCTGAGCCCATGGCGGGCGGCGGCTGGCCGCGGCCGCTAGATGGCAGTAGTGCTATTGTGAAAACCCCCCCGGGCCTACAGCCCTATTTTGGGCAAGAGGAGGCAGTTAAGAGACCGAGTTAGCGTGGCAACTTCTCTGAAAAACAGTCACAGTTGTTGTTCTAAACAGGGGCCCCCGTAATTATTTGGCCTAATATTTGCTGTGCATAAAATCAGCCAATCCAGGTGGAGAGAGCGCCCGTTGGCCATATAAAGGCGCCTCTGTCCTGTGTGTGAAATTGGGCCATCTGTCTCTGTCACGCGTGCGGGCTGACACCCCCTGTGCGGGCATTCGCCACCAGGCCTTCTGCGGGCCAACGACAGTTACAAGTGGCTTCTGAGTCACCCGAGCCCTCGCATTCTTCCCCGGGCCCCACCTCAGCCCCCTTCGATGTGGTGCACGCAGCTGCCGCGGGGCGCGTTCTTCTCCCCCCCCCCCCCCGATGAAACCCGGCCGCACAGCCGGGGGCAGAGGCCCCGCTGGGCACGGCGCCTGCAGGCCCACAGTGACATTCAGGGACGTCGTGGTGGGCCCCCTGCCCCCCAGTCCCGCACGCCTCTGCCTGGCCTGCGGACCGGCAGGAAGCTCGGGCCCTTGCCCTCTGAAGGGGTCCCCTCTCTGCCCCCATCTGCCGGGGCCGACCTCTCCCAGCGTGTCCCTGTGGGCCCCGCTCTGGGGCTTCTAAAAACAGAGCTAATTGTAAAGCACACAGAGGGTCAATCACGAACACAAATTAAGTTTCCGAATCTATTTTGGGTTGACTGCTGCGGAAGAGCCCGTCCGGCGGGGTGGGGGCCCCTGTCCCCCCCGACAACCTGATACATATCTCTGCGGGTCTGCATCCCCCACGCGGCAAGCAGAGTGTCGCCCGGCCGGCAGGAGCCTTCTGGGGCCAGGCGGTGGCCCTGGGGGCACCTGGGACCGCCGGCCTGGGGCCGGTTCCCACACTGCTCCTTTTTCCTGGCCTTCCCTGCTGAGCCGCTCGTTCCGCGCCATGGCGGGGATTGAGGGTTTACTTTTGAAAGTACAAGGTGAAGTTCCCCGGAGAGGGGCGCCCACAAGTGGCTCTTGTCTCTGGTGAGAACTGAAGAATTTCTTTCACCGGCTCCGTCCGTTTTTCCGGAGCTATTGCAAATTGGCATCTTTGTATTTATATTTTAAAATGTCATTTTGGGTTTCCCCCACCTCAGAAAACTAGCAAAATCACCTCGATATATTAAACATAAATCCCCGTTCTGGGCAATCAGCCCTGCGTGTAAACTCTTGCCCTTTGGTATTTTAAAAAAGAAAAAAAAGCAGCGTTGAGCCGTGTAAGCTAATCCTGCTGCAGGCTGGCTACTGAGCGCACACAGCCCTGCTTTCTTCACTCGGGCCCGCGCTCCGCGCCATGTGATCAGAATTTATAAACCTTCCCTTCTCGGGTGGGGCGTGCGGGCTGTTTCAGATCATACTTGGCCGCCTGCCCAAAGCCAAATTTCTTTACAAAACAAGGGTCTCCAAGAACCAGCGCACTTTACTGATTTTACTTATTAAAATTTTCCAGATACGGATGCCGTCCTCCATCCTTCTTTGCCCGTCTGGAAACAGACAGCGCTGCCCTGGCACGCACCCCCCTCCTGCGCCCTGGTCTTGGGGGGCTGCTCCGTGAGCCGAGGCGAACTGAAAGGGCACCTCACAGTTGCCGGGGCCCCCTCCTCCGCGCCCACGGGGGCCAGTGCCCCGCACACGTGCTCGGGGGTCTGGGCTGGGGCTTGGCCGACGCTGGCACATTCTGAACTTTTAGTGAAAGACGTAAAACCAGTTAATTTGCAAAGCCGGTCTTGATTTATAGACTGCTGCATATGTACATTTCTTTGTACGTTATATGCGTTTTATTTGCCAAGCTCCGAGCCAGGAGGAGGGGTAGTCTTTAATGTGGGTAAAGGCCTGTAGGTATTTTGGATGGAAAAAGTTTCAGCGCGGCACCAGACGTTATTTGTGCCGTGTTTTCCTGTGCCTCGCTCCTGCCCCCCGGTCCGACCGGGCTGCCCCCGCGCCCGTGAATGGGCGCTTTGCTGGGCTGCTTTTAATGAGGCTCCAGCCGCTGCAGACACCACTCCATAAAGAGATAATGCCGATGAAAAGGGGCATTGTCCGGAGTCATGGCTTCCCGCTGTTAGATAAAAGCCAGTGGCAGGCCGACATGTTTGCGTTCCAGGCGGGGACAGCGCCCTGGATGTGCTGGCCGCGTGTCCGTCCCGGGGGCTTGGTGCAGCAGGGCCCTGGCAGGCTGTCCTCCTGCCTGGAGGCTCCCAGGGCCGGCACGGCACCCAGAGTCGCGGCTCTGAGCCCGAGTGCTTGTCCCCTCCGTAGGCCCATGGACAGACCTTCACGTTCCCCGATCTGTTTCCCGAGAAAAATCACGGCAGCCCCGGTGACAACGACATCCAGGACGAGCTCCTGGAGGGGCGGAGGCAGAGGCAGAGCCGGGACCCCCGGCGCGGCGGTGTGCCCGACTGGTTCGGCCTGTGACGGCCCCAATAAAGTCCTGTGTGTGGAAGCCCCGGGCTCTGTGTCCTCTGTCCCCGGTGTCCAGCGCAGGGCTGTGCCCCGTGCCCCACAGCGCACACGGCGCCTGCCTGCAGGGACGGAACAGGGCCCCTGTGGCCCGTTCGGCCCCATGAGCCTAAGGCGAGGCGGTGGTGGGGGCTGCCCCCATGAGAAGGGTCTTCGTGAGGAAGGTTGTGTCGGGCAGGTTGTGAGGAGGGGTGGGGTGAGCGCCACGGGCAGGGAGCCCGTCCTGCTGAGGGTCCAGGGCAGCACCACTGGTGGCTCTCGAGTGGGGAGGGGTCCACGGCAGGACCCAGAGGAAGCGGTGTTCAGCAGATGCCAGCCTAGTGCAAAGCAGCGCGTGGAGGGCGGGAAGCGGGAAATGGAGGACGAGGTGGGAAGGACCAGCAACCTGAAGGCCCGAGGACGGGATGATATGGCCAGTGGCCATCGGCACCCTGGGGTGGACAGTCTGGAAGGAGACGGCATCTGGGGACCCACAGTGCGTGCATCGAGGGGCCTGGCCCTGAGATGTGCGGGCAGCCAAGCTGGCCTCTGTGCCCTGCAGGCCCCTGTGGCGGGTGCCCGTGAGCCCCGGTTGCTGTGCCCTGAAGGCAGGTGGCAGGAACTGGGCCGAGCCTGCCGAGCTAGGGCCGTCTGCGTGTGCGTCTGCGTGTGGGCTTCATGCAGACAGGTTGGGCCTAGGGATTTGGGAGCAAACCAGAAAGCCCTGGGGTGCTCAGGAGAGTCGGCCACACCGGCCCTGGGGTAGGACACGGATGCCACCAGGCCTTGGGGAACCCCATCCTCCGGCATTGCCCTCCTGTGACCTAAGGAGGGCCCTGGCTCTTTCCTCCTCGGGGGGCCTTGCAGGGGCAGGCGGAAATGGGGGCTGGCTCGGCAACCCCCTTCTGCCCTGAGGGACACCCGGACCGGGGACGGCGGCGTCACGTGGGCCTTGCAGCTCCCTCCACTTGGAGGGTGAAGGTCCGGGCAAACACCGCCCTTCAGCATTGATTTAAAGTGATGGGGAAGGTCCGGAAGGCGACCGGAGAGCAGAGTCAACGGTATTCTCCTTAGAGAAATAATTCATGGGGCCCCGCGGCCCTGAGGACCCCAACTCAAGGCTGGGAGAGCAATCCCATCCTTCATCCAAGCACGTCCAGCACGGGCCGCCACGCACACCCCAGACGCAGCCCAGCGCCTCCGCCGGCTGGCCTCCCCGAGACCCCCGTGTCCTCCCACACCCCCGCCCCCAGCGGCACGGTCATCTTTCTGCCAGGGGGAGGAGGAAGGGGCCGGAGAGCAGCCATGTCCTTGGTCTCCCCTGCACCCCCAGGGCCGGCAGAGCCCCCTCCGCACCCGGGGCCCAGTGACGGGCCCAGGGGAATGAGGGTGGAGGGGAGGACAGCTGTGGGGGTTGCCTTGCAGGTCCTTAGGAATCCAGGAAGTGGGCCTGCAGCTGGGGGGCTGCTCTACCCCAACCCCAGGCCCGGAGCCTCAAGGAGGAGCCGGCTGGACACCCCTTCCCCTCCGAGCTGCTCCCTGGCTGGACGCTGAGGAGGGAGAGGGCCTGGGCCTTGTGAGGTCCGTCTCTGCCCCTAAGACAACGGCCCCACGGTTGTCCTGGCCGTGACTCAGTGTCCCCTTGTCCTGCACAGCGGGAGACAAACTCCAGATCTCTGCATGGGGGCCAGACGGGGTCTCCCACACTGCGAACAAACACCAACGGGCCCCCCTTGGCCGGACACCTCACACAGGGCTGGGCGTCCCTTCCCATGGGGATGGTCCTGCAGGGAGCACGCAGGGCACCAGGTCGTGGGGGGAAGTCCACGGACAGAGGGAAGGAGGGAGAGCCCCCAGTGCTTCCCCACCCCCCGCGAGCCCCCCATCTTCTGGGATGTTCGTGTGTCGCCATGTGGGAGGTCTGTTTACTTTGCAAGGGGAGTGAGAGACCGGGGGACGCCAGGTTACAGCAAAAGCAGAGGCCAGCAGGGCAGGGCTGAGGGGGCTGGGGCTGGGGCCGGGAAGGGCCCTGGGGACTGCCGCGTGCTCTGCTCAGTTCCTGGTCTGTGCTGATGAGTTATAGCTGCAGCGGGCGGGCCCCAGGCCCCCAGGGACACATCCCAGGCCCCCCCAGCAGCTCCAGGTGAGGCCCAGCCGCCCAGGGCCGCCAGGAGGGAGCGGAAACCCATCTGGCCACAGTCCGTCAGCGGCTGGTTTTCCTCTTCTAGGGCCGACGAGTCGTCCCCAGGGCTGTCTCCCCAGCTCCTAAGACATGGCTTAAGTCTCTGACTGCAGATAACAGCGGGGAGCTGGGGCAGGGGCCCCCACCCCTCCCACCGGCCAGGCTGCGGGGCCCTCTGCCAGGAAAGTGCCCACACAGCTTCCGCAGCCCAGAGCCCCATGTCGGAGGGGGGGCTCCCTGCCTTCTGGCCCCCGTGTGCACCACCTCCCCAAGAGCCCCCTTCCCATGGGCCCCCAGCCCCCCAGCCCGGGACCCAGGCCCAGGGACGCCGCACTTCCCCTCATCCCCCACCCACCCCTCTGGGGCCTCCTGGAAGGCACCTCTGGAGTGACCGTGCTCCCCCCACTTCCTGGCTTTCATGTGACCCTAAATTCTGCTAGTTTATGCAGGAACATAACTGGGGAACGGCCAACCCCAGTGAGCCCGCCGAGCCAGACGTGATGGCCCCATGTCCCACCCCGGGAGCAGGGAGCTGGGTGGTGAGCTGCCGGCCCCCGGCCCCCCGCTCTCGCCTGACCCGGGGCCTCCCTCCCGGCTCGCAGGGCAGGGCATGCACGTCCTCTCCTATCTTCAAACGGCTTTATGGAGACATAGTTCACATACCCCACCACCCGCCCACTGCAAGTATGTCGTGAGGTGTCCGTACTTTCGCAGAGCCGTGTCTCCATCCTGTGATCCCTTTCAAAACATGTTTGTGTTGTCCAGAAAGCAGCCCTGTGCCCTGCGGCCAGCCCTCCTCACCCCCCTCACCCGCCCCTGCTGGCCACAGCTCTGCTCTCCGTCTCTCCAGGGGCTCGCCTGCCCCAGGCGGGCGCGGTGGTCGGCGCGGCGGTCAGCGCGTGGTCGGCTTGGTGGTCGGCTCGGTGGTCGGCTCAGTGGTCGGCTCGGTGCCCCCGGGTTCGTCCATGCTGTGGCACGTTGCAGGATGAGCCTTGGAAGGCCGCGTAATGCTCCGTGCTGTGTGTGTCCACATGGGCAAATCCACGCTCTGTGGCAGACACTGGGGTTGCTTCCTCCGCTGGGTCTGCGATTTTGGGGACACACGTGTCTGCGTTGTCCAAGGAGGGGAGGACTGGGTGCTTTTCCCGGAGTGTTCCAGGCGAGCTGGGGGCAGCCTGGCCACGGTGGAAGGATTGTCCCTAAACATCCGTGGAGGCTGCAGAGATGGGCCACGTGCACGGCCGACCCCACCAGTGAGGCCTGGATGGGGCAAGTGCCCGGGAGAGGGACTCTTCAGGTTCGGGCAGGAGCCAGGGCGTGGGGGCGGGGAGCCTCCCCTCCAGCGAGACTGGCACTGGGAGGGGCTTCAGCCCTGGGGACCCCAGCCCCCCGATGGCTCCTTCCCTGAAGGCTGCACCTGGGGCCCCCTCCCCTTACATGCCACCCCGCCCTCACCCTCAGGAATCCTTGTTTGCCCAGGTGTGGGGCGGCCGGTAGAGTGGGCTGCTCCCCACACGTCCGGGGGCCCCCGGGCCGAGCCCCGGTCGCCTGTGTGCAGGTGCCTGCCACATCTTTGCAACTGACTCAAAGTCCCTTCAGGGCAAAGAGGAGCCCTCCTCTTCCCACCGCCCCACCGCGCCAGGACTCCCTCTGTGGCGGACCCCCAGCCACACTGCAGGGGGGCCCCTCTTCCTGCCGTTGCCCACCCCAGGGGCTCCACAGCTTGGGGGTCGGAGGGGCCAGGCCTCCTTGCACCAGCTCGGCCCAGCAGGAACAGCAGCCGCGGTGCGAGGCTCTGCTGCCCGCCAGCCCGCGGGCCCCGGGACTGGGAGACCAGTTCAGCATCTGCGTTTGCTCCTTCCCGACTGAGGTCATCCCAGCACAATCCCCCAAATCACTTCATTATTTCTTGGTAAATAGGGCTTTTCCTAGTCAAAATCATCAGCATTTTTGTGTTGCCCCCACATCTGGCTTTGATTGGCCCCGGCCTCCTCGGATGGATGCTGGAGCCCTGACGTTATGGTGAGGGAGGAGAGGCCGGCCTGCTTCCCTTCCCGCTCAAGGCCTGGCCGGGGGAGGGGCGGGCGGGGGAGGGAGACCCCAGGCCTTTCCCCGCACGTCTGTGCACTCTCTGCCTGGCCCCAGGCTCTGCAGGGGGAGCCCCAGGCTCTGCCTCCCTTGGCTATGTTCTCAGCCCTCCCTGCGCAGAGTCCCCGGCCCCCTGGCCCCCTGGCCTTCTCCTCCTCGGTGTCCCCCACACCCCAGGACAATGCGAGCATTTCATCCCAACCCCCCACACACACACACACTGGGATCTCTGCCACCCCCTCTCCTTGAGGGATGCATGAGAGGCAAGATCCCCTGACCACCCCCTGCCCCCGCCCCGCAGCTCCTCCACATGGAGCTCAGAGGAAGTCCAGCGAGGAGGGTCCCCGGTGCGCCTGCCCCTGCAAGGACAGGAGTCTGCAGGGCTGAGGTTGGACCGAGGTTGGGCCGAGCAGCCCTCACTCCTTAGGGCAGCAGGAGGCTAGGAGATGATTCCACCAGGCACCCCCCTCCCAACGCATGAGCACCATGACCCTGCACAGCTATCTGGGTCCCCGAGAGCATGGTCCTGGGACATTCCCTATGGTGCTGGGGGCAGCCCAAAGACCACCCCTGAGCTGGTGACCGGGCGGCTGGGGGGCAGACACCTGTGACAGGCCCCAGGGGAGCAGGACAGCCTCTGCCCACGGCCCACCGGGGAGGGGAAGCTCGAAAATCCTCCAGAGGGAGCTGGTGAGACCCCCAGGTGGGTGTTCGCGGGGGGGCCCCCAGCCCCCTCCCCTGGCCGCTGCAGGCCTTCCCTCCCCGCCGCAGGGGAGGTGCCTCCCAGAAGCCTTTGCGGCGGGCCCAGGGCAGGGGTGACGCGCCCCCTTAAACAGAACAAGGTGCTGGCCTTTCATACCTTCACTTTACGAAGTGTTGGGAATTCCGACGGCCCAAACAGCTGGATGTTCCTCAGCAGGTTCTCCCTGGGACTTCACCGGCGGCCAGGGCCCTAAATAATTCTTATAAAAACCATGTCAGCCCCCAACTGTGTGATATCTGATTTGTAGCACTAATAAAACCCCACGTCTGCGAGCCCGGCGCTGAAGACGGCGTTTCCCGCCACTGCATGCGTGCACACGTGTGCACACGTGTGTGTGTGTGCACGCACGCGCATGTGAGTGAGCGGGTGAGTGCGGGGAGCCCTGGGGGAGGGGTGGCTCCGGGGAATCCTGCCTCGCTCCCTGGCCTCCCTGAGCCCCACACGCCCTCCGCCCCGCACGCCCACTGCCTGCCTTGCTCACCAGAAAGCTATGGCTGGTTGGCCGGAGGGTGCAGCCCCTTCCCGAAGCTGCACAGCCCTGGGGAGTGGGCCCGGAGGCTCAGAGAAGGCAGTGCCAGGCCGTGCTCAGAGGGTGTCCCGCTCCCCAGGCCCAGTGGGCAGGGTCAGGTGCAGCCCCCTGCCCTCAGAGCTGGGGCCGCCCTCGGGCTTCTCTCAACTTGGAGCCAGCCCTGAGCGATGAACGACGGGGCTCCCTCCTTCCAGCTACCCCTTGCTCCCAGCAGCAGACCTGGGAGGTCCCAGGTGACCCTGGACCCAGAGTACCACCAAGAATGTGCTCTTGACCCCTGAGTGGCCTGGGAGCCCGGAAGCACCCAGCTCGGGGCCATCCATGGGGGAGTCTTGATGATAAGCCCCCCAGGGCATGGAGGGGCACCAACAATGACCCATCAGCAGGGTTGGTCATTAAAGGCCAGATCAAAGGCCTCCCGAACACATGCGGCTGGCTAGGGAGGCCGGCCGGGGCAGGGGCAAGGGTCTGCTGTAAAGGCACCCCCCGCTTCTGGAGCCATGGGCTCCGGGCCTCAGCTGCCCCAGGGGGTTCCCTCCGCTGTGCCCTCCCAAGGCCACCCTGCTCTCCAAGGCCACAGCACCATCTGACAGCAGGAGATGGAGACCCTGCCCGTGAGGGGCCCAGCCCAGTGTTCAGGGGGCCATGTGGGGCTGCCCGGGGACTCGGGGCACTGGTTCCTGCCACCCAGCTCCTGATGGCAGGCAGGGGCCTGACGGCGCGAGGAAGAGCGCACACGGCGGTGCCGGGCGGGAGGGGAGCGGGCACCGGCCCGGCGCGCTTGGCCTGACATGCCGGGCCACGTGCTTGCCCACGGGGCTCATGGAACATTCTTGCTGGGGGCCGGGGGCTGGGGGCCAAGGTGTGAGAGGCCCCGGAGGGCGCCGGGCACTATGATGGCAGGCAGACAATGGCCACCGGCCCCGGGCAGGGTCCCCTCGCTGCTCTGGGCCCGCCAACAGTGTGTTTGGGTGCAGAGCAGGCTTAGAGGCCTTGCAGACAGGGCTGCCGGGGCCAGGTTCCCGGTCTCCCCTCGAGCTTGTGAGGCCCTGGGCTGTGGGCTCATCTTTCTTTGTGTGAAACATGGGAATGGTAATGCCGGCCAAGGAGGAGCTGGAGGGCCCTGCTCCCAGGACCCCCGACCCCTGATGTCAGGCTCTCCCCTCCACTCACGCGTGTCCCAGTCCTGAGTGCCAGCCCGGTCTCTGTCCCGTGGCTGTCCGACACCATCTCTACCACCATCCCCCCACCCCCGGGGCTTGCCACGTCCTGTGTCCCTGTTGGGCGTGGCGTGCGGGTCTGGGATGAGCAGGGGCTCACGGGAGTCGGATGATCATATTGTGGGAAGGCTCATGGGGTGTCTAACCCCGCATGAGATTGTCCAGGCCCAGGAGGCGGTGCCGGAAGTGGGCGCCACACACCCAGCCGCGAACCCATAGTCCCTGCCCCATGGGCCCCAAGTCACGCCACATCCTTGGAGACGCCATTGGTCCTGCTGGCTGAGGATAGAAACCTCCCTTCCTGCTGGCCTCTGACCCTGGGGTGACAGTGGCGAGGTCAGCAGCCCGTGAGGTTGACCCGCCCCATCACCAAGCTGTTTGTGGCTCCAGAGCCAGCCGGTTCACACAGGAATTCCAGCGATTCCATGCTCCCAGGGTGTCAGGCTCCGGCTCAGGCCTTGAGCAATCTCAGCAGTACCTAGGGGTGCCCCAGCCCCAGCCCCGAGTGCTTCCTCCCACTGCCTGGCCGGGCCCTGGCATCTGAGGCGCCCCCTCCCTGCTCCCCTCCCTGGCTTCGGGGGACCCTCCAGATCCCCTGCCCGGTTTCAGGAGGCCCACCGACGAGAGAGGCTTCACGCCACTGCTGGGTTTTTTTCCCATTTAAGGAGACAAGCCCATGGTTACCTGATTCCTTCCTGTGCGCACCGCCCCCCCAGCCCCAGAGTGGGCACGTCCCTCGTCTGGGCTGGTGAACTTCTCTCTCGCACCCCCCGGGAGCTCCTGGGCGAGAGGTGTGTGAAGGAGGCGGTAGCCGGCCACCTCGCCCCGCAGGCCAGGCCCTGAGGGTCTTTGGGCAAGGATCCTGGCCCCCCGCCCACTCTGGGGTGCAGGTGTGGCTGAGTGTCCCGTGGGCAGATTGACTCAGAACTCCAGCACTGAGGCTGTGGGCCGCGTGTCCCCAGAGTCCTGGTTCCAGGACCCGCGGACCCACCCACCCAGGTCTGCCCTGCACCCGGGGCCACCTGGCACGTGACTGTGCTGAGCTTGTCCCTGTGCCCCCAGGACAGGGCAGCACGAGTTCTAGAAGGTGCCTCCTAAAAATAAAAACTGGGCAAGAGGCCTTGTGGGGCTGGTCCTGAAGGAGGCCCAGTGGGATTAGGACCAGCTGCTGTTCCCATAGTGCCTGTCCTCACCTCCCAGAACATCCCCTGCCTGCCCCGTACCCCGCCTCACCCCGGCTAAATCCGCCTTGGCCCCTTGGCCGGGATGGAATGGGAAAACTGCTCTGAGCCTCCTGTGGGGCTTAGGGGGTAAGTGGAGCCGACAGCTGCCCGAGGAGAGTGATGAGGGGCGCCAGGAATGCCCTTTATCTGGAAATATCGTATTGCCCGCCTAGATGCCGGGAAGCCCGCGGGCCGGCCCTCCCCGGCTCCTGCTAAGACAGGAATAGCTTCGGGAGGCGGGCGCAGCTGTCCGCATCGCTCAAGAGGGCTCCTGCCAAAGTGGCCTTTTCCGAGCCCCCTGACCTCGGGCTTTCCCAGGGGGCTGCTGACCGGGGGCTCTCCGGACCCCAGGCCCCGGGGCCCCCGGAGCCCCCAGAAGCAGGCTGGGGGGTGGGAAGGGGACCCCAGTGACATGCGTGCGGCCCCAGCCCCGGTTCCTGACATGAGCTCCTTCCTCCTGCGTTAGTCCCCGTGCCCCGGGGTCCCCCCACCCCAGGCTGGGGTGCCAGGCGTGGGTCCCGGGCCAGAGCCCACAGGCAGCCCCGCCGCCCCCCAGAACAGAGGGGTCAGAGACGGCAGCGTGGCCCGTGGAGTGCGGGGTGCCGTGCGGGGCGGCTGGGGCGCGGGGCGGGAAGGGCGCCCGTCGGGGTCTGCTCGCACGGACCACATGGAAACGCAGGCAGCCTCTGGCACCAGGAAGCCGGGGCCTGACGGCGCGAGGAAGAGCGCTCACGGCGGTGCCGGGCGGGAGGGGAGCGGGCGCCGGCCCGGCGCGCTTGGCCTGGCATGCCGGGCCACGTGCTTGCCCACGGGGCTCATGGAACATTCTTGCTGGGGGCCGGGGGCCGGGGGCCAAGGTGTGAGAGGCCCCGGAGGGCGCCGGGCGCTATGATGGCAGGCAGGGCGCACTTAGTCACCTCTGAGGTATGGCTCCCGGCCGCACCCCGTGTCATCGCCACGGCAACGCCGGGAGGGGCCGGCAAACAGCCCACAACAGAGTGGCGCCCCCTGACTCCCAGTCGTCCCCTCAAGGGGGTGGGACGGCCTCGGAGACACCGCCAAGTTGGGGAGAAGAAGCTTGCAGCCTGGCTCGGCTCCAGCCGTGACCTGGGACCTGGGTGCCCCTGTCCTGTCCCTTGCCCTGCCCAGCCCCAGGCCAGGACACCTCGCCGGGACCTGGGCCCTGGGGGCTGGAGGGGTGGGAGGGGGCTGAGGAAGCCAGGCACCCCCAGGGTTCAGGGTCCCCCAGCATGTTGCAGTTTGTCAAGAGTGGAGCTCAGGCCACTGGAAACCCAAGTTCTGGGGGCCCTCGGGCCATCGGCTCACAGGACAAGCAGCCCCCAGTCCGGTCTCCTGCCGTTAAGAGGTGGGGGGACCCGGGGGCCCTGCCACAGCTCCCCCATGCCTCAGCATGTTAGGGTCGCAGGACCCCGCAGAGCAGGGCTGGGGAGGGTCACCGGACAGAGCCCCGGGGCAGCTGCCTGATGGGGGCAGTAATGTCACGTGCTGAGGAGGGCCGTCCCCGGGCGGTCTGCAGCCTGGGGGGCCCTGCCCCCACGCCAGGCCCAGGCATCCAAGGTGCCTCCAATCACTCCCTCGCCTGGAATGCGGTCCCAACACTTGGGGGCTGGTCCCCACGCACCCAGGGGGCTCCCCCCTTCCAGAGTTGCCTGCCCAGCCTGTGCCGTGCCCCTGGTCAGGGGGTCAGGGGAGGCCTGGGGCCCAGGGTCCGGCCGATCTCTGAGGGCTGAGGCCGAGACTTTGCTCCCAGGGGGGATGGTTGGGGACCCCTTAGAAACGTTTCATCTGCATCCCTGGGGAAAACCAGGCAAGCACAGGTTGGGGCCCTCTGTTCGCCTTCCCCCAACCCCAAGCAGAGGCTAGCACCGGGGGCCGAGCAGGGCCCTTCACGATGCCCAGTGCCCACTCCCAGGATCTGGGGCGGCGGGAGACGGTGTCCCCCAAGGACGTGGGCCTGGAAGCACAGATGTGCGTGCGTTGTCTCCCCCAGGGGCGGCGCTGCTGGTCTGGAAGGAGAGGGACACTGCTTGGGGAGGTCGTGTGTGGCCATGGCCAAGCTGTCCTTCCCGCATCAGCTGTCAGCAACCTGACCCGTCCGGCCACGCAGGCCAGGAGCCTCGAGGCCTAAATTAGGGCCTGAGGGAGAAGCCACGGGCATCACAGGGACACCTGAGCCGCCCTGGCTGCAGAAATGTCTGGTCCCAACGCCAGAGAGGCCAGTCCACCCCAAGGGCGGGCGGGAGACCGGCATTTTCAGAAGTTCGAGGTTGCCCGCCTGGGGGTACCCCCGGCCTGGCCCCCTGCCTTTCTGCCCCTGCAGAGCCCACGTAGGCCCAAGCCCCCGGCCACTCCCTGGGTTAGAGGGATCCAGTTCTCCGCTCCTCAGGGGGCTGTGTCTTATCTCTGGGAAAGAGGTTACGGGTTTCTGACATTAAATTTTCATGCTGAAATTTTCAGCATGTAGTTTGAAAAGTATTTTTTTTCCAAGGAACACCTGGAGGGGAGGGATGAGAAGGCTGTCGGGTCTGCTCACATGAGGCTGAACCTGAGGGCGGGAGGGCGCGCTGTGTGGTGGCACCCTGCCCCCCGGTGCTGTGAACGCCTCCCCTCCCCGAACACGGTTACCGGTTCGGCCACGAGAGCCTCCGCGGGCCGCCCGGCCCCTCGACCGCTTGGCGGGAGCCGAGTGAGCACCGGCATGGGGTAACTCTGCGTCTGGTGCTCAGCCCTACACTGCTCTTTGTCCAGTGCGTGCGGCTGGCTCCAGGCGGCCCCGCTCACATCTGCTGGAGTGAGGTCGGCTCTGCCCCAGGAGGGGTGAGCCTCAAGGAGCCTCGGGATGGGGGTCCCTCTGGGGCCCCAGGCGGTCCCGGGGCCCCGCAGCGCGGCCGTCCGGGGGACACGGTCATCTAAGGGGCCTGGCCGCTCCTGCTCCTGCCTCTGGGTAATTGAAGGAGCCCGCTCGGAAAATCCAGTGTCGAGCTCGTCTGTTGGGTCATTTTGATTTGGGGATTTCCAAACATCGGGGCCACGAGAGGTCACCCCGCTGACCCCGGCCTGCCTCATTATGTCACAGCCAGATTGCTGTGGCACGTGATGGAATCCAGAAGCCCCGCACGGGCAGGCAGTGGGCCGGAGGTGGGGGTGGGGAGGCCCACCGGGGGGCTGCGTGCGCCGGCTCCGCTCACCCCAATCCCACCCAGGCTGGCAAAGCCAGCCCCCCAGCCCCGGCTGCCCTAGCACAGCAGCCTGGGACCCTACACCCCAAAGCCAGTTGGGCTCAGAGTCCTGCCGGCTCTGTTCCTCAGGCCCATGTGTGTGTCCTCGCCCCTGCTGGACGCTGCCCCGCCTCCTCTCCGAACCCCCCCGACAGTGTGGCCACTCCCACTTTACTTTCCACCACCTATGGGCACAGCCCCCAAGCCGTGTCACACGCCCTCCCACCCCAGCTCGGGTGGGTCCACCTTCCACCCATGGAGCCCCACGTGCCTCTGTGGCCCTTCTCTGCCCGTCCCCATCCTGGCAGGAAGGACTGGGTCCCCGACACCGCCAGGCCCTGGCCAGCCCCTCTGTGTCCTGTGTCTTCCTCCTTCACAGCGGGTCCCGCTAGGGCCCCTCCCTCGGCCTTCCATCACACTTTTCTTGGGGGTTTTGAGGCTCAGGTCCAAGCCCCTTCCCCCTGTGACCTCTCCAGGCCCACACGAGGTAGCACCCAGAAGAAGTCACCCTGAGGCCTGGCTGTCTGCCACACACCACATTTCGGGATGACCCAGCCTGCCTCTGGCCCATGACCCCTCCCAAGCCCTTTTCCTTTCCTCTCTCAGGACCCTCAATAGACCCCTGAGCTTGGCCCTGTGCAACTTGACTCCACGTCATGGCATGGCCCACTCACTTGCCTGTGACCCCCAGTGAGTGACTGGCCGGGGACAGAGAGGGCAGCTGGGGACACACAGAGCTCTCCCCGCTGCCCACTAACCCCCTCTTCCTGGACAGACCCTTAAGGTTTGCCTCTGGGCTGCTCTCCCAGCTCCTCGGAGACCCCTCCCTGCAGACTTGGGCCACCCAGGACTGCCCAGTGTGGCCCTTGTTGTCCGGGGCCCAGCGGAAGCTAGTTAGCCCTGAGGTCCAGGCTTCCTCCCTTGGCGTGGGGCCCCTGAGAGCTGGAGAGCAGAGGGAACGCAGGGTGGGGTACGGGGGTGCCTGGGAGGTGCCCCGGGGGCCAGCGGTACGGGGCGGCCCCATCTGCTTTCCTCCTCGTCCTGGTCCCAAGGGAGAGGCACACCATTGTCCAGGGCCTTGGAGGAGGCAATGGGGAGGGACCCGGGCAGGGACACCAGACAAGGGTGGGTGTTCAGCCGTCTCCCTGGTAACGGTGGCAGCCCAGCCCCAGCGATCCGGCAAGCCCATCCTCGGGCACAGAGCCGGCAGATCTGGTGGCTCCAGTGCCCTGGAAATGTAATGCCCATGTGGGCAGCAAGCTCCTTCCTGTCCCCTCTGAGCCTGGCTTCTGGGCTCGGCGGGTCAGCACTTTCTACAAACTCCACACGCAGCAAACAGAGCCTGGTCAGGCGGTCCGTGGCACGCCTCCCAAGGGACGACCGGCCAGGACCTGCCGCATGCCAGGGGCACGGCCATTTTCCCTCGTGCATGCTCTCCACCATGCTGCCTGCCCTCCTTGAGACCCCTTCTCCCAGATCTTCCCCCTCTGCGAGCCCTTCCCGTCCTCCTCCAGACTTCCCCAACTCCCAGCGGGGAGCACAGTGGCCAAGGCACCCTCGCCTCCCCACCCCTCCAGCCTTGCTTCATCTTCCAGCCACAGAGAGAGGTGGGAGAGCCCCAGGAGAGGGCGTCCCAGACCGGCCTGGAACGTGGCAGGCAGCCGCGGCCCTGCAAGGCTGGATCCGGACGACTTGGGATGGGAAGCCCTGTTCAAGTAAGGCCTTGGCCATCTTGGCCTGCTAATTGGGTTGTTTCTGGATCCCCAGGCTCCCCACTTTCCAAGGGCCCCAAACCCAGTCCCACTGGGCTTCCTTGAGGGCTGTGATGAGGCTCCTGGGTGGTCCTCAGGCCACAGTGGGGATCCCACGGTGACTCAGTAAGGGGGCAGCAAGGCACATTTGCCCAGGGCTACAACATGGTGGACTCCAGGCCAAAGCTGTGTGTGGTTCCCGTAGCAACGGGATGGGGCAGCCGCTTCTTTGCCCTGGCCAGACATCGCCCTGCCTGGCTCCAAAGGAGAGAGCTCCCCCAGGCCCAGGGCAGGCTCTGGCCGCCCCTGGGTGCGGATCTCCCTGCAACAGTTCCCAGAGAAACAGCCTGCTCTCCTGGCCCCCCGGCCCACGCACCCACCTACCTGCGTGGCCACCCCATCCCGGGAGCTCCTTGGGAGTGGTCAGCAACATCCCTGGGCCACGATCTGCACGGCCCAACGTTCATCTGAGCCTGGTCTCACCTGCCAACCCTCTGGCTGCGGCGGGAGGCGGGACCAGCAAGGAGACGGAAGATTCCAAGAGTGGAGAACACAGGACAGAGAGAAGGCGGTCGGCCAGTTGAGGCTGGCAGGGCAGGTGCGAGAACTTGGGAAGGATGTAGGGTCTTCGT